GATGTTTTTCTCTCGGTTGCTCAAATACTCCGACAAATCCTGTCATCCAGGGGGCACGACCGAGGAGGGGGGGATATGAGGGGTGCATGGTGAAAGGCACCTGCCCCGGCTGCTGGCCTGTCCCCGAGGAACGGTGCGATGACAAAATAAACTAACAGGGCTGTATAACACACACACACACAGACGTGTGCCCGGGATCTTGGTGCCGCTTGCTGAAAGGGGGAGCTGAGGGACCACTGTGGGAGGGCTCTGGGGCTGCCAGGGCTCTCCAGAATCCCTGCATCCCACTAAATCCTGAGTTTCCTGGGTGTGTGGGTGTGGATGTCTCTTTTTAGAAGGTTTTGCTGGAAAGGAGATGGCTGGAAGCCAAGCCTCGGGAGCTGAGTGGTTTGCTCAAGCTGGGAAATTCCTGGTCATCACACAGAAAAGGCTGGGAACCTGACAGGCTGGGGTGCTGCCCTGGGCACGGGGCACATCTCATCCCTCCTGCCCATGCTCCCTCCTTCCCAGCCGGAGGGGCATTCAGCGAGCAGCACTAAAAAATGCACATTTTGGCCGAGCACGACGCGGAAGAGGTTGCGACGTGACGCAATGCCTGGCAGGGCTTCCCCCTACACGCTCTGCCGGGGGCTGCAGATGCCGAGGCTTGGCCACGGCATCTCCCCTCCAGCAAACGCCGGGGCCCCTCAAAGGATGGGGCTCTGCCTGGCTGCCCTCCTTCATCCCTAAAGCAGGGCTGGGACGGGCTGCGGGGTCGCGCTGGTGGAGCCCAGCCAAGGCTGAAGAGACTTTCCCTGAGTCACGGAGAGTCTGGCCAAGAGAGCGGCGGCAGCCACGCGAGCCGGCGGGCAGGTGGCAGGTGCCAGCACAGCCTAGAGGTGTAAATCTGCACACTGGGGACCTGCCCCAGAGCCCGAAACAGCAGCTGTGGCACCCAAAACCTCCCGCTGGGGTGTGGGTTCGGTGCGACACAGAGCAGTTCCCAGCGACACCCCGATTCCGGCGCTGAAGGAGAGGGTGGGGGCGGGTCTTTTCTGCTGGGCGGGGATGCCAAGAATCCTGGTTTTGCATCCCACACCAAGCAGCTGCATCATCATTTGGGTTTTGTTTTTTCTTTTTTTTTTTTTGCAAAAACCACCCCCAGAGCATTCTACTCCCCGAGGGGGACTGGCAGCAGCAGTGTTTTCCGGCCCGCCGTTGTTCCTGAAAACTCTCTGGGTTTCATTTTCGAGGCTCAGCAGCTGCTGCTGCCATGCTGGGGGAAGGCGGAAGCTGCTCAGCCCCACAATGGGGCCCTACAGTGAAGCCTCCAACTCTCCCCTTTCCAGAGGTTGGGAGGCACAATGTGCCGAAGATCCGGATGATCCAGGGGCTCCTTCGCTGGCAGCAGCAGGTTTTTGCCAGCGGGAAGCAGGCAGGGGAAGGGTTTCAGGGTGGGCAGGAGCAGCTGGTGGAAGCGTGGGAAGGTGTCCTGTCGGGAAGATATATTTTGGGAAGGAGGAGGAGCAGCTGATGGGGCATTCAGGCCGCTGCTCCTCGGGGGTGGGATGGAGCCGTAGGGAGGAGCTTCCACTTTTTTATTGCCCTCGTCCAGCCTTTGTCAGCCCCTGACCCTGCCTGCAGGGAACCAGCACCATGCTGAGCCTTCTTCTCCCCACAGGCAGGGCTGGCAAGGCCCTAGGCCAAGACACCTTCCCGGCGTGCAGGAGAGACCTGTGTGTGTTCCCCATGGAGATCCGACGCGCTTTGCCCCAGGATATTCGGGAGCTGCTGCACTGCTTGAAGATGAAGAGCAAGTACGCCGTCCTGCTGGTCTTCATCATCAGCCTCGTCATCATCGAGAAGGAGAACAACTTCATCTCCAGGTAGGCAGTGGGCATCTGAGCCACCCCAAGGTTTGCAGCCCCTCTCCCCCAGTCCCAAGCTCCTATGCAGCAGGAGCCCACCAAGTACCCTGCTGGGATGCAGGGTGGTCCGGCTGTCCTCCAGGCTGGGCTGGGTCTCCCCACAGGGTGTCGGACAAGCTGAAGCAGTCCCCACAGGCGCTGGCAGAGGCCAACAGCACGGAAGTCAACCCAGCGCCGGCCAAGAACGGCTCGCTGGCCTCGCTGCAGGAGCTGGACGCTGCGTTCTCCCAGCTGAGGTCTCACCTGTACAACATCACCCTGCAGCTGGCAGGTGACGGGGACCCCGGGCCACGGCGGCACGTCCTGCTGATGGCCACCACCCGCACTGGCTCCTCCTTCGTCGGGGAATTCTTCAACCAGCAGGGCAGCATTTTCTACCTCTTTGAGCCCCTCTGGCACGTCGAGAAGACAGTGACCTTCCTGCCTGGGGGAGCCAGCGCAGTGGGCTCAGCCTTGGTTTACCGAGATGTCCTCAAGCAGCTGCTCCTCTGCGACCTCTACATCTTGGAGAACTTCATCTCGCCAGTTCCCGAGGGCCACCTGACACCCTTCTTGTTTCGGCGGGGCTCCAGCCACTCGCTGTGCGAGGAGCCCGTCTGCACGCCCAGCACCAAGAAGGTCTTTGAGAAGTACTACTGCAAGAACCGCCGCTGCGGCCCCCTCAACATCACGCTGGCGGCCGAGGCGTGCCGGCGCAAGCAGCACGTGGCCCTGAAGACGGTGCGCATCCGGCAGCTGGAGTTCCTGCAGCCGCTGGTGGAAGACCCTCGGCTGGACCTGCGCATCATCCAGCTGGTGCGGGACCCCCGTGCCGTCCTGGCCTCACGCATGGTGGCCTTCTCCGGCAAGTACGAGACCTGGAAGAAGTGGGCGTCCGAAGGGGAGGCTCCGCTGCGCGAGGAGGAGGTGCAGCGGCTGCGGGGCAACTGCGAGAGCATCCGCGTGTCGGCAGAGCTGGGGCTGCGGCGGCCGGGCTGGCTGCGGGGCCGCTACATGCTGGTGCGCTACGAGGACGTGGCGCGGGCGCCGCTGCAGAAGGCGCGGGAGATGTTCCGATTTGCCGGGCTGCCCCTCACCCAGCAGGTGGAGGAGTGGATCGGCAAAAACACACAGGCTCCCCACGACGGCAACGGCGTCTACTCCACGTGCAAGAACTCCTCGGAGCAGTTCGACAAGTGGCGGTTCAGCATGCCCTTCAAGCTGGCGCAGGTGGTGCAGGATGCCTGCGCCCCGGCCATGCAGCTCTTCGGCTACAAGCTGGCCAGCAGCCCCGCGGCGCTGGCCAACCGCTCCTTCAGCCTGCTGGAGGAGGCGCAGCCTGCCTGGGTCACGTAACGGCGCGGGGCGACGGCGGCGGGGCGGAACGAGGGGCTGCGGCCGTGCTCCCGGCCGATCCGGAGACGACCTGGGGGACCCTGCTCCCAAAAATGCTCCTCGCTGCTGCCAGACGGCAGCCCCAGGAGCCGGAGCATCCTGGCAGAGCTGGGCCCAGAGTCCTGCAGAGCCTGAATTACACAATTTCTCCGGGAATGGGGAAATGGTAAGGGTGAGGGGCAGTGGGGTCGACAACAGGGCCACCTCTCCAGCTCTGGAGCTGCACCGAGGAAGAGGAGGGTGATGGCAAGCAGAGGGGAACAAGACCAAGCACCTCTGCCTTGCCACCCCCCCATGCCAGCTGGGACAGGGAAAGGACGAAATCCCTGTGGTGCCAGCAAGCACCCTGAGACCTTTGTGGTTTAGTGCCTTCATACACCAGCAGAGACTGGAAACTGCCCACAGAGCCCTGGGCGGCACTTGGGCTACAACCAAATGAGGTGACTATGGTTTGGTGCTCTTCAAACTTGGTTTTGGAGGTTTGGGTTTACTTCCTTCTTACCCTGTGTATTTGCATACTAGGTGGATTTATTTATTTATTATGTGAAAAGGAGGGGGAGGCTGGTCAAGGAGCTAAGCCCAAATATCAGAGCAGCACAACATACCACAAATGGATACACCCAGGACGGAGGTCACATTTTAGCTGGAGACCACCACGTTTTAGCTGGAGAGCACCTTCTGTATGACCTTGGGTCAGCCCCCAGGGTCTGACAGGCTGTAACCCCCCCAGCCCCTGTGCAGCAGTGACTTTGAACTTCAGCAGTGTGGAAAGGTGGTCAGACTTATCTGATTAAAAACAAAACCACCAGCACAGAGTCCAAAGCATCTCCTGTCTCCTTAGTATTGGTGGGTGTCCCCTGCCCAGGGGTAGCCCCAGAAATGCATGCTAACAGCACTGATGGGTGGCCAAACCTGGTAGAGGCCCAGGAGAGAAGTTTCAGGGTGTTTGCCATTTGCAGATGTTGACTCAGTGCCGAGCTGCCCCCTCCAGTTCACATTTCATTAATTAAAATGCCTATTTTAGCCCTCTTTGTAGCTCATTCTTTTTCTCCCCCAGGTACTTTTGGGTTATGTCAGCCACCTGAGGGAGTAGTCAAGCATTTTGGTGGAGAGTGGTTGTCTCCACCTCGGGCTTGCCAGCGAGCCCTGAGGGGTCCCAGCAGCCGCATGTCCCCTTCTCCCCAGCTAGAGCTGTTGGCCAAAAGCAGAAATAAATAAACGAAGCGAGGCGGCAGCTGGCCACAGCTGGGCTGCGCTTTGCCGGCCGGGAGGAAGGCGGTGGGGCTCCGGCGAAGGGCTGAGGCTGGGCTGAGCTCACAAAAGCTGCGTTTTTGACCCAAGAGGGAGAACAGAGGCAGCATTGAGGAGCGCGGGGCCGGCCGGCGGGGAGCAGCGCACCGCAGCCACGGGCAGCCATCCGCCCGCCCCGGCTGCGGAGGTTTTCCGAGCAGGGCCGGGCTTCATCAGGCTTCAAAGGTGTGATTTCAGGGCGCTCGGTGCCAGCTGGATGCGGAAAGGGCACAAAAGGGGAGATTTTTGGCAAACCCTCATCGCTCACAGGCGACGGAGGGCGTCAGCCTCCTCCCCGCCTCACACGCAGCTCTCGGCATCACAAGCAGCCCTGGGGCTGCTGAGTGAATCGGGTTTTGTTCGGAGGCTTCCTGCTGGGAAAGCAGCAGGGTCACTCAGGTCAGATGGATATTCCGCAGCTGCGCGCCGGGAAAAGCCCACCGAGCTCAGCCGGCATGAGAGGGAAGGAAGTCGGACACAGCGTCCTGGTAAATGCCTCTGGAAAAGCACCATTAGGTAGGCTTTTGCAGAGAAAATAATTTTAGGGTAATTGTTTGTGAAATAGCATGAGGGGTGAGTAGCTACTGAGCTGCCACCCCTCTGAGACAAGAGGGGACATTGGAGCGTGGCCAGCATCCCCCTCCCATCCCACCGCGGGTGGAGGCTCCTCGGGGCTTGGAGAGCCGGGTCCAGGGGGCAAGGACAGCAAATCCAGGAGCACGGAAAACAAGCGGTGAGGGAAGTGGGAGCTGGGCTGAGCCGAGGCCAGAGAACAGAACAAATAAAAACAGATAGACTAAGTTGGAAGAGGCCTTAAAGATCATCGAGTGCAACACCTCAACTAAACAATGGCACTAAGTGCCGCATCCAGTCTGTTTTTAACACATCCAGGGATGGTGACTCCACCACCTCTCTGGGCAGCAATTCCAGAACTTCATCACCCTTTCTCTAAAAAACTTTTTCCTCATATCCAACCTATATTCCCTTGGTGCAGCTTAACACTGTGTCCTCTGGTTCTCCCAGTGCTGCCTGGTAGAAGAGACCAAGCCCAGCTGAGCACAGCCTCCTTTCAGGGAGTTGTAGAGAGTGACAAGGTCACCCCTGAGTCTCCTTTTCTCCAGGCTGAGCACCCCCAGCTCCCTCAGCCGTTCCTCACAGGGTTGGTGTTCCCAGCCCCTCTCCAGCCTCGGTGCCTCCTCTGGACGCGCTCCAGTGTCTCCATGTCCTTCCCAAACTGAGGGGCCAGAGCTGGACACAGCACTCGAGGTGTGCCCTCACCAGTGCTGAGTGCAGGGGCAGAATGAGCTCCCTGCTCCTGCTGGCCACACCATTCCAGAGCGGCAGTGATGTTCTTCTGCCTGTTCTTACCTGCGCTGCCTCCGCCCCAGCTGGCTCCAGCCTGGCACTGCTAGCCAAGCATAAGCAATTGTTCCTGGACACCCTCCAGCTTCCTGTCAAAAACGCCTCAGGACAGAGAGAAAACATGCCCCCGACCCATGCAGATCTCCCAGGAGCTAATTGCTCCCATTAAACCCACGGACTCCAGGCACATCGGGAAGCCACAGGGGACACGGCTCCTCCGAGGCTGGAGCAGCTGAATTCCCCCTGAGCTGGCTGGGGGGAGCTGGGGGGAGGTTTGTCCCCCCACAAGAGGGGCCTCCTGCTCAGCCTGATCTGGCTGCTGCCAGGCCTTGCCTGGCTCTTTCTGTAGAGGATGAAAGGCATGGATTTGGGAGGGAAAGCACGGATTGGGAAAGCCATAGACTGTCTCAGAGCAAGGACATACCTGATCCAGACAGACCATGCAGGAAGCCCACAGCAGGAACTGCAATGGATGCTGCCTCACCCTTTCTCATAGGCACCAATGCAAAAAAAGTTTTTTAAAAGAGTCAATCCTCTTTTCAAAAGATCTAAGCTTTCTGAAATAAAGCACCACTAAAGCTTGGTTTAAAAGAAGGAAATAAAAGAACCCCAACCTGCAGCTGTACTGCCTCCAGGCTCACCTCCCAGCCTGTTGCAGCTGTGCTTTGGGGTGAATTTGGGAATGTTGGGGTGATGCTAATTAACACCAGAGAGACCTTTTCCACAAGCAGCCCAGAACAGTGAGGGGATGTATATCCCATACATCCACCAGCCAAAACTGCTTCTCTTTGGGGTCACAGGAGGTGACACAAGATGATGTAGCACAAGATGATGTTCCAGGAGAGCTTGAACAAATGATGGATGTGCTGTTCACCTCTAAACGGGATCTTTCTGGGAAATGATTCCCTCCTGCCAGTCTCACCCGGAGTTGACTTTGGACAGTGGGTACATCCTGCTGTTTCTCTGCTTCCCTCTCAAAGCACTCAGAGCTGCCTGGGGCCACGCTGGCATGGCTGGGCTTGCTGTGGAGAGGCAGTCTGGCTGGAGGCAGAAGCTGCTGGTGCCAAGTAAGAGAGTGGTCAAGGTGGGCAAGTCTCCGAAATGGCACCTTAAATGCCCTGCAGTTTAACTCCCGGGTGGCCCTGCTGGGCCATGAAGCCAAGCCACCAGGCAGGTGCACAGAAATCTATAAAAAGTCCTTTTCCCAGCTTGGCATGAGGTTTCTCCCAAACAGCAGAAGTGGTGGCTACTGTGCTGGCTGCCCTGACCCCCCATACCCTTGTCCTCTCTTGTTCCAGCTCCATTTAATGGGATCGGTCAAGCTAATCCCCCATGTGTACTCACAGCTCTATCAGAGGGGATTTCTGTACAGGGCTGGAGGGAAGGAAATCCATCACACCAGCAATTGCCTGTCCTCACCCAGCCCCACTGGCTTCTACTGGAGGTTGGATCAACTCTTTCCTTCTCTCCATCGTCGGGGCTTTGTGTGGTTCTTGCAGGGAGCTGGTCCATGGCTACAGCTGCACCATCCAAACATCCAAACACCAGATCAGTCGGGAGGTCCATGGGCCAACAAGAGACCCACAAGGGCTGCAGCACATGTGGACATTTTAGCATTAAATGACAACCTTGTTTTCTGTTGTGTTTTTCTAAGAGACTGCATGCCTGACCAGACTGCATTTCTTGGTCTGCATCCCATATTTATCCTGTAATTACACCTTTGGACAAAGGCTGTCTGTCTGTGAGGCCCATTTTTTTCATGACACAGTTTTATTCTATGTTTTCACTGTAATGAAATCTGGGGGGCAAGGGGAAGAAAACTCCCCACATCGGGAGTGAAAGGTGTTCTTTCTCAAAAGCTGCCCCAAGAGCAAAGGAGCTTGCACAAGCCCTCTCCTTTTTCCCAAAGAAACCCCAGCCACTGACATCCTTTATGCTTCACTACCACCCCACAAGGATATGCCACAAATCATGTTATCCCATAAAAGAAAGTTGCCACCACACTGTCAATCTCTGGGTCCCACTGCTGGAGGAGCCAGAGAATTTCCAAGGAGATCCCTGCAATGCTTATAGCCAGGCAGCTGACAAGAATAAAGCTGATAAAGTTTCTTGTTGGCACCTGCCTAGATCACATCACAATAAGGGATGAAATGGCATTCCTGTAAAATTCCCAATGTCTGCTATGTGCTTGGCTCTGGAGGGGCAGGAAAGATCTGCATGGTACAAAATCCACAGGCAGTTTCAGGAGCTGTCTGAGCTGGGGTTTCCTCCAAGGGGAAGGACAGTCCTGCTTGGTCCCTGCTCACCCCATGCCAGGAGCTAACGTGAGCCTGGCCACCCCCATTTCCCCAAAACCTGCCTTGGTTTGAGCCCCAGTTTGCAGGTGGCGATGGCAGGTCAGGTGAAGCCTGTCACCACAGCACGCTGAGCCTGGCAAACTCATCCTGCTGTACCGTGCAGGAAAAGAGGAGCTGGGCAGCACCCTGGCACAGAGCACGCTGTGATCCCAGGGAAATGGAGAACAGCTTTGTGGACAGCCCTGGGGTGGGATGGAGGGAGATCCCAGCTCCCCATGGCTCTTCTCATGGGTACAAAGACCACTTTAATTGCAGAGACCATTGCATTTCACCCTTGGAGCTTTCCCACCCTTTTCTGGCTGGGACTTGTGACCAGTTTATGGGCTGGCATGTACAAAGAAGCTGCCTATAAATACACATCTCTGACTAAAACAGAGTGATTTTGGTGCTGTTGTCTATGGGAAGCAGCTTGTCTTCTCAAGCCACTGAAAAACTGGAAATGAAAAATTAGGTTTGTGGGGAAGAGAATAAATGTAAGTGGAACCTTGTTGATTTCTGCTAAAAGTAAAATGTTATGTATAAGGTATAAAATAGCCAGTGTTGAACTTTAAAAACAGCTAAGAATGTTCTGAATTGGTTTTTCCAGGTGATTCTTTGCCCTGAACTGACACAATTCTACCTTGGCTGAAGAAGAATTTACTGAGGCATGGGGGGCAACCAGCTCACCCTGGCAAAATGGGGAGCTGGGGGGCAAGGGTGGGCCAGGCAGTTTGTCTGGAGCAATCCCTCATCCCTGGGAGACTTGAAATCCTCCTTTTCCTGAAGCAAAGCCTCCAGGGGCACAGCCAGAGAGCTGCAGCCACCCTGGTGCCACTGGGGCTGTCACAGGACAATGTGCAGGACATGTCTGTGGGCAGAGGGAATGTGGTGCGTGAGGCTGCTGATACAGGAGAGGATTTGGAATTTTGCAGAGATGGCTGTGAGCCAGAAACAGTCTCCAGCCTGGAAGGGAAGGATGGGGCCTTCAGCCTGGCCCAGGTGGGAGAACTACTCCCTAGAGGAGGGTGAAGGAAGGAATGTTATCCCTCTTCCAGCCTGTCTGGGTTATTGCAAAATTAGGGATGCCAAACTGCCCTGATGATGAGGGAGGGCAGGTCAAAGATGCAGAGGCTCACAGGAATGTGGGCTAGTGCAGAGCAGGGGCACTTGTGGCATCCTAAGGTCTCCCCATGCACTGTTGTACGCATCCGTGGATTATCATCCTCAGAGGGATGTCTCTTAGCTCTGGACGATGTTGGATTACAGCTGGTGAGGAGAAGACTCACAGACAGGTACATATACCCATGCTACCTATCTCAGAGTGGCAAACTGGGACAAGACCATCTCACAGAGCCCCCTCCCTATACCTTTTCACCGTGCCCTCCTGCAGGGAGTATTTGGTCCATGGGGCAGCTGTGAGGAAAAGTCCAGGGAGCCTGCAGCAGGGCAGGGCAGGGCAGTCACTGCCCCGGGCCTGCCCACCTGCCCATGCTCCCCCAGGCACCAGCAGGAGAAAAACCCCGTGTCCCATGTCCCCACGGCCGCGCTGGCTGCACCCTCTGGCGGCAATGCTGAGTCCAGGCCCTGCTTTTCCCGGAAAATTGCTTCCCACCGCCAAGGCTGGAGGGTGTTTTGCCGGGAGGGGGTTTTGGCACCGGGCTGTGTTTCGCTGAGGGAGGGCTGAGGAGCAGGGCGGGGGCAGGGGAGTGTGGGAGCAGCTCTGCCAGCTCACAGCACCGCAGTGTGTGCAGCAGCTATTTTTATCCACAGGGCCAGCAGCTATATTTATACAGAATGCCACAAGAGCTGAAAGCCTTCGGGGCAACTTCCGTGCTGCGGAAGAACACGATCTGGATGTCCTTTATACTGCCGACCTTCTCCACCCCCTACTCCCCTTCTCCTGGGCCCTTTTGCCACCTCCTCAGCCCTTCCCTCTTTATGTCCCACTATCTCCACCGTGCTGATGCTGAGCTCGTGTCCTGCCCATGGTGGGAGGTTGGAACCCGATGGCCTCTAAGGTCTCATCCTACCCAAGCCTTTCTGAGATTTTGTGATCTTGTCTCTTGTACAGCCGTCTCTGGGCTCCCTTTCCTACTCCACTCAGAACAAATACATGTTTTCTGTGTTTAAGCTGAACATCAGGAGGAATTTCCCTACAGAAAGGGTGATTAGAAATCGGAAGGGACTGCTCAGAGAGGTGGTGAATTCGCCATTCCTGGAGGTGTTTAAGGAAAGACTGGGTGCCGTGGTCCGGCTGACATGGTGCTGGTTTGGTCACAGGTTGGATTCGATGATCTCAGAGGTCTTTTTCCTAATTGATTCTGTAATTCTGTAATCTTAATTTCCCTCTCCAAGAGGTTGTTTCTTCGGGTGCAGCGGACCATCCTCCAGCCTGCAGCCTTGTGAAGCTGAGCAGAGCCCTCAGTTGGTAAAACCCTCGGTGCCTCTCGCGGGGGGGCTGCAGGCGTGGGGGCTCAGGGCAGGCGAAGCGCTCCGCGCTCGGGACGCGGCAGGAGCCGCCCCTGCCCGCGGCTGCCCTGCCCGGCAGCGCCGGCTCCGCACGCCCGGGGGCCGGGCTCAGCCCCAGCAGCCCGGCCCCGCCCGCAGCTCCGCCCGGAAAGGCCGAGCGGGCCCGGCACGGCCCCGTGCCGCGCCCGCCGGAGCCGCCGCTCGCCATGGGCTCCCGCCTGTCCCTGGACGGCTCCGTGCGAGTCGTGGTGGTCGGGGGCGGCTTCGGAGGGACGGCGGCCGCCAGCCTGCTCAAGTCCTGGGCCGTCCCCTTCGTGCTGGTGGACGTGAGAGATGCTTTCCACCACAACGTGGCCGCGCTCCGGGCCGCCGTGGAGAGCGGTAAGGGCTCGGGGAGCCTCCCTGTCCCACCGGCATCTGCGGAGGGACGCGGGGAGCGGCAGGGAACGCGCTGCTCGCACTGCCTTCTCCGCCCTGCCGTGGCGAGAGACTTGATATTTTCCATCTGGAAAACAAATACTAGGCACCAGGAGGACCCACAGCCCGTCTGTGGTTAAGCTAATTGCACATCCACTGGGAAAACTGAGCAAAAACTGCTCAGACCATCCCTCCTCCCCAGCCCCCCCTTCCCCTTCCCCCCCTTTATTTATTTCAAGAGTTTAGAAGGTGACTAAGCTAAAAGCGAAGCGGCTTGATGGGGTGAGTCAATCACTTTCTGTATCTGGCCATTGAAATGTGGAGCAGCAGAGCGGCGAGGCCCTGGATAAAACCCTGGCAGAGCTGCTCAGGGCTGTCTGCGCCCTCAGCTGGAGGCTGGGCCAACCCCATTAGTCCAGTCACTGGGGAATTTAGGGGTAAAGTACCACGTTGGAGGCTGGAAACAAGCATCAAAAGGATAGCAAAAGTTTGGTCTGAGAGGCAGATTACTGAAAAAAGCCTCTACCACCCAGCCAGAAATTGCCAGGACCACAGAAACAGTTATTGGTAAACCAGTACAGGAGATACAAGGAGCAGAGACAAAGCCATCTAAACCAATGTAATCTGATCTGAGGCAAAGGGCCTGAAGCTCCCTGCTGGGCAGAGATAACACCCAGCAAAAGTCCAGCCCACGGTTCCAGATGCATTCCATGCTTTTGTCTAAGCAAGGACAGCACGAGGGGAGAAGAGGGGGTGGTTAGCCTCCAGAGAAGGAGAGCTCTCCCATTGTCTCCTCTTCCCACAGGATTTGCCAAGAAGACTTTCATCTCCTACTCGGTCACCTTTGGGGACAACTTCAGACAAGGCAAGGTCGTGGCCATAGACCCTGGGAGGCAACAAGTTGTGCTCAGTGATGGTGAGGTGGGTGTTGCAATGACCGGGATGCCTTATGGGATCACCTGCTAGTGCAGGCAGCCAGCCTTCAGCAGGGTGTGTTCCATCCTCCTGAAGAACTTGGCATCCTTCCCTGCACAGCTCCATCCCTTCCCACCGAGCTAGGTGGCCTTCAGCTATGTGGGATGTGGGTGTGCACTAAATACCCAACCCCATCTCCTGCTCAGCTGAGCTTTTATTCTTAGAGCTGGATTTAGAGCTCAACAATTAAACCTGGGGCTCAGATCCTTATTTAACTTCAGGAAGAGCCAAGAGCAGCAGCATCAATCACTCTTTTCAGCCAGAGCATCTCACCTCTGTTCAGGAGAGAGTGAAGGAGAGAAGTTAGTCTCTGGAACCATCTGTGAGTGTCCAGCATAAATATCAAGTTATTTCCAGTAAATTTAGGGTAATTTCTTTAATTACCTACATTTCTTTAATTACCTTAAATCTCTCAACTCATCTGAATGGTGCTTAGCTCAGACCTTGAGGAACAGTTACTTTGTGTGACCTGGACTGGGTCTAAAGTCACTTCCTGACAGTGACAAGTACTTTCCTGGTTACCAGCAAAGGATGGAGATGAGGGAATGAGTGACCAATACTTAGGAGGCAACCACTGCGTTCTAGGCTCTGCTTTTAAGAGGTCTAATATCCCATTCTACCTTCTGCCCTCCCAGGAGCTTCACTACTCCCATCTCATTCTTGCAACAGGCAGTGATGGGCCATTCCCTGGGAAGTTCAACCAAGTCATTGACATGGAAAGTGCCATCCAGACCTATGAAGACATGGTTAAAGAGGTGAGGAATCAACTCTTAGGAATTGTTGCTGCCTGCCTTTGTTCAGCCTCCCTGTCCCAGATACCACTGTGGCTATCTGGAGCCAGCTGTGGCTAAGAGAAAGGGACACTGGGAGCAGCCAGGACAAGGAAGGCTTCTCTAGCACAAGGGGAAACCTGAAATGCTCAACAGTATCACAAGGTAGGCAAGAAGAGTGCACAGGGAACATTTTCTTGTCGCCTGTCAATGAGCTAAGAGGTTTATTGCTGCTGGGCCTGTGCTGTGTCCCACAATGTTCATGGAGTGACTGAAGGGATCTGGCTTCCTGCCCTTTGCAGTTCTCTTGTAACACAGATTTTCTCTTGAAGATTGAGAAATCTCAGCGCATCCTGGTAGTGGGAGGTGGTGCTGCTGGAGTGGAGATGGCTGCCGAGATCAAAACGGAGTACCCGGGCAAAGAGGTAGGAACATCTTCATCGCAATTACCTTCATCCTGGTTCTGATACTGTTCCATGATGGTGCTGCTGGAGGTACCTGAGAGGACTGCACATCTGCTTGCTGAGCCTGTAGCCAGCCACCAGCAAGGACTGTGGCACTAGGTGCCCCTTCCTGGCTTGTTCTTGCAGGAATCCATTAGGGTGGAGGACACCAGCTGGAGCTGCTCCCACCTTGCACACAGTGAGTCCTGTTTTGTTCCTGTGTCCCCAACAGATCATCCTCATTCACTCAAAAAATGCACTGGCTGATGTGGAGCTGCTACCCAGTGTCCGTCAGGTGGTGAAAGAGATTCTCCTCAGGAAAGGAGTCCAGCTTCTGTTAAGTAAGTTCTTAACAATGCCTATGAACACCTACAAGCTGCTGTTCCTTTAGCCAGAGCATCTCCTGATGTCCTTTCTTACTTTTTTGGTTACACATGGCTCCCTTCAATTCCTGTTTCTCTGGGTTAGCTGGAAACCACAGCCTAGCAAAGGTTTGTGACCCAGGGCTCTCTGTTGCAACAGGTGAAAAGGTCAGCGACATAGAAAACCTGAGGCCAAACCAGTTCCAGAAAGACATGGTAGTGAGGACAGAGAAGGGCACCGAGGTTGTTGTTGACATGGTGGTGCTGTGCACAGGGATAAAGATTAACTCTTCTGCATATGCTGCTGCATTTGGTAAGTAAAAAACCCAAACCACACGGTGGGAAGAAGCAACAGTTCTTCAGAGTGTGGTGCCTGAGGGGTGTGAGGTGGGGAATGGACTGTGTACAACCTGTGGGGGTGATTCTCCTGAAATATCAAAGGATGGTGCATTGCATGAGACTGCAGTGATTAACTACAGCAAGGCAAAAGACATTTCTTCCCTAACACATAGAAAAGAGGGTGAAAAACAACCCCTCATTTTGTGTCAATTACATCAGCAGCATTCTGGGGTCTCAGGCCACAACAAGCAACACAAAGCTGCTTCTAAAAACCTGCTGTTTGGCAAAACAGGTGACAAAATGGCAAGTAATGGTGCTTTGAAAGTTAACAAGCACCTCCAGCTGGAAGGCTACGAGAACATCTATGCCATTGGGGACTGTGCAGATCTCAAAGAGCCCAAGATGGCCTACCATGCTGGGCTCCATGCCAACGTGGTGGTGACAAATATCATCAACAGCCTGACACAGAAGCCTCTCAAAACCTATGAGCCAGGTAAGGTCAGCTCCTATCACCTGGCCTTAGGTGTTGGGCTGCTTTTCCACAAGGAACAGCTGTCCTAACTCTCACGAGACTCTAAACTCACTGAATTCACTGTGAAGGAACTCAAAATTGGGGTAATGTCAGCTTGGAGCTCAGGCTTCATACTAGTCATTGCCAAAGACACAGTGTAGATATTAATTACCTGTATCAGTCTACTACACAAAGTGTTCTTTCTTCACTAATGCCTTGATCAATCTACTGGTGGGAGTCTGCTATTCATAGAACTTATTTTCTTTTCTTAAAATTGCTCACTGTCCAATTAAATCTCAGGAGTAAGATGACTTCCCTTTTCTTTATTTCTCCCCTTAAACTACAACACAAACTGAACAATCTAGTCTCAAAAATCTAGCTGGGTAATGGGTCTTCTTCATGAGCACTGATGTAAACTTAGCAGAACTATGCTGAATACTGTTCCACGTGGATGCAGGGGAGCTGGATAACAGTTGCTTCACTTACACCTCTATATCATCTTTGCAGGGTCACTAACATTCCTGCTTTCCATGGGCAGGAATGATGGTGTAGGCCAGGTGAATGGTTACTATGTGGGACGTCTCCTGGTGACCATTGCCAAGAGCCGGGATCTGTTTGTCTCCAAAAGCTGGAGGACGATGGGACAGACAATGCCCTCCTGACAGGGCACCAGCAACAATCCAGCAAGGAATACAGCAACTGCAAGAGGGTGAGGGTGCACATCTATTGCTTGGTCTGACTTATACTGTCCTCTCCAGCACTTCCTCAGGCCATCTGGCACCACCTGCCTTGCTGTGAAGGGGCAGGAGGCACTTCCCAAGTGAGCTGTACAGAAGTTCCCACAATAAAAATCAGAGAAGAAATGTTTCTGTTACTCCCTCGCTGAGAGAGCTCTGAGCAACAAGCTTGGCTTACCTTGATTTGTAACAATAAACACTGTGGCATTCAGAATATTTGTGGTTTGTTTGTAATGTGTTGGGGTTTTTTTTTGGTTTTTTTTTCCCTGGCTTTCTCTATTCTTGCTCTTCTAAGAAGGACCTGCTTTTTACAAATCTGGCATCTGCTCTGCAGCTTGCAGGGAGAATGGCTCACAGTGCTGCCAGGGTAATGCTTGTCTAAAACCTGAAAGGGGATATGATAAGCCTGGATTTCAACAAAATATAGTTCAGTTTTGTGTAAAAATCTCAGCAGCTTTAATTACATCACTTATAGCACCAAACTTCAGCCAGAAAAGCTGTTGGTTGTGATAGGGTAAGCACTGAATTACAGATGCTGCTGCTTTTTTTTCCTTCTCTTTTCCTTTTTTATTTTTCTTTCTAGGGTGAGAAGTCCCCAGAGCAAAATAAGGGTTTATAATAATAACCACACTTGACACATCTTTTTCTTTTTTTCTTATAAAACAAACAAAATCACCATGAAATATTGTCAGTAATTACAGAAGTTATTGTGAGCTAAAAGCAAAACAGAAGCTCCTCATGCATCACTTCTAAAACCCTTTGCACCTCTCTGTGGGCTGAAGGCAGAAGTTTACCATCTACCCTCAATGGAGGGGAAAAAGGAGCAGAACATTTGTAAGAGCTTTCTTGAAAGTGGCATGTGTGTGTGTGTGAAGAAATCATCACTACAAATCTAAAATGAGGTTACTCTTTAAAAACTTCTAAACTAAAGTAACAAAGGACACTAAACTCCTGAAGCCAGATGATAACTCAACTGCTTAAGGTGATAAAAATGGCTTGAAGAAATCAGACTAAACCCCTCTCATCTCTAATCACAGCTCTCCATCAAGTCACAACACGTCACACTACTACCACTCCCCCTCATCGTCACATTGAAAAAATAAAACCCACCTCTAATGCTTTTAATGCTACTCAAGTTTGTTGAAAAATAAAGTTTCATTTGGCTGCCGTTGCTACTTTGTGTCTAGCTTGGCCATTTCTTGCACGTAGATGCCAATGCTTTCACTGTCGAAGAGCAGAAAGTAAATGTTCTTCAAGGAGGAAGAGCTGGTGCCATCAAAATGGGTGGAAATCGCTCTGAGGATCACCTGGGCTGCCGTCTGTTTTGGGAAGCAGTTTCTGTGTGGTCAGGGAAGAAAAGAGAGCAGGTGAGTGTTGGGCAGGGATGCTGGGAGAAGCCAGCCAGGGCTGTTCCAGCCACAGGCTGCTAAGATAGTTCTACTTGCAGTTTGGCAGACCCCAAGGATTTCATAGCAATATTCACCTGCTGCTAAATTAAGTTTCCTTGCTGGCACAGCTTCTGTTTCCATCTGCTTCTACTTCTTAGGACCAAATTTTTTTGTTTACAATTTTAAAATTTGTTTTTATTTTTTATTTATCATTATTAATTTTTTTTAGTGTTGCCCTTAGAATTAAATTTTTCCATGCCATGCTGGGCAGGCTAAAAATTTAAAGGATGATTATTCTTTTTAGAAAAACATCACCTACTTAGCTGACTTCCTTGCTCTGTCATTAAAATACTTTGCTTGGGATTCCTGTGAAAATAATTGAAATTATGACTCCAAGTCGTATTAAGATCGAGATGCATTCATTCACTCCTCTTGATGGTAATATTCTCTAACCTACAATGATATTTATATTGAAAACCATCAAAAAGATCTGGCACAACTGAAGTATCCCGATGTTACATCAGTTACTGTGAATAGTCCCTAAGACGGGACAGAGGAAAACTAGAATTCACATAACTGATATAGCATAATTCTTTATCTACCCACAAAACCACCATTTCAGATGCAGACACGTAGGTAGAGTAAAATGACAGCAAAACCAGGAAGTTCTATTTGAAAAATTGCCTTTTTTCAGGCAACTTTGAGGTCCCTTGATAGATGAAATGTAAACCACAGCATCTGGTAAGACTCCATTTCTCTTAGGAGGAATAATTGTAAAAGAAGCAGAGTGAAATGGAACAAAGCAGCAGCAGGATCTGCACTAAGACTAATGGTCCAATAATGGATTATTCTAATTCTAAGCTCTTAGAAGACATGAAGTCTAGAAGCTATTTCTATTGGTATCAAAAGCTATAGTTAATTTTCACACTAAAGACTGTTAAAAAAAATGTATCACATTTTGCTCCCACTAAAAACCATAAACAAAAATATCTGTATATTAAAAAAATTACTAAAATGACTGCCTCTCTATTTAATCTTTTGTCCTGATCCATAAAAATATTTTTGCTTTGAAGAGTAACTGTGTAAAAATGGCATTTTAACCTTCTGTGTATTCAGTGATGTGTGGCGATTTCACTGATCAAATGCAGTTTTACTTTCATTTCATTCACTGTCAGGTCAACACAACAGGAATGTACTATGTACTCTACTCTTTGGGCACTACTACAAAAATCAGTAGCTACATTTCAAAATAAATGTAAGCACATGAATTCTAACACAAAGTAACTAATGCAGTTAGCAGTAAGATCTAGTCATCAGAGACCAACAAACTGTTGATTTGGAAATAAATTTGAAAGAAAAAAAGAAAAATACTTCAGATTTCTAAGTCAAACACATTCTACTTGCTAGTTATTAAGAAAGAAATGTGTGGCTTCACACTTGCTTTAATAGGTTTCCCTTTTGAAAGCAGATCTACATTTTCAGAAGAAAACCTTTTTCTCAAGGTTTTGTGTGACAAGTCTTTTCCATATCTATTATCAGGAAGGCTTAAGTGAACACCCCACATCCAGTAGCTCAGGTGGCATCACTGTTACCTGCCTTCAGCATTATGCTGCTATAATCTTATTAGTACAAATGCAGGTTTAATAAGACTCCCCACAGCAAAATGAAGGGACACAAAACCCGAGGTGGTGCAGAGGAATGAAAATGACTGCCTAGCAATAGAAAACACAGCAAGCCCACTCAGCTCTCCTGTGGCTTGGCTAATTTCTCTTTACAAAGGCTCTCTGGCAGTTTCATGCAAACACTGCACTTCAGGCTGGATTCCTCTGGAGCAGCTGTGTGTCAGATGGCAGCAGCACAGGCAGGGTCACAGAGCACAGGGCACCTCTCTGTCAGCAGCTCTGACAGCCAATTCCACCTCTGCTACCTGACACAGGGAGACCTACCTGCCGCTGGGAAATGGGGGGAAAGCCACAGACTTCAACTTCTTGTCTTCTGCAGCTGTTAAGCAATTCTTGACAGTCTCCTCGAGCTGCTCTTCACACTTGTCCGAGCCCCACTGTGGGATGTGACAGTGGATGACAAACTTTGCTGCTAGGCCGCTAGACTGAGTGAGTGCAGCTAACACAAATGAAAATATAACATTTAGTTTGGAACAGAAACTGCCCTGCAACGACCTCTCAACCCAAAGTACCTTCTTAATTACCTCACCTCTCCACAGAAATACATTGGGATTAAAATACACCACAATGGCTTACTTGCAATAATAACCTGTCTCATCATTCCTTTTGTGATCAATTGTTATTTCTTTGGAGACCAAAGAACCCAGGGCTCGTTTGGTTAGCACACAGCTATTCAATAATGGTTTTTAGCTCTCTCATTCAGCACGGCCTCTGGGTTTGTTTTATGCAAAGTACAAAAACCTCGCCCTAAACACAGTATCAGTAATCCCCACAGACATTTCTGCAGAGCTGTCACTGAGTGCTTTGCACAAATATCCTGCATCATCATCATCATCATCTTTACAACTCCAGAGAGCTGGGGAGTAATATGTAGATCCACTTCACAGCTGGATAATTTCAGAAAGGAACATGAAAATCAAAGTTGTTTGTTGGAAGTCCCCACCAGTTATGTCTATTTAGGAATTTCAGATTAATTTTTCAGAAAGTGTAATATTTCTACAGGACCTGCAGAGCTTACAGCATGGCATCAGTTTGCTTTTGTTGCAATTGCCACGATCAGTACAGTGGAAAATCTGGGTGTCTTGGTAATCTCAGGTTAAACATTCTGAAATCCACTGTGCAGGATGGAATTAGCCCAAGGATGAAAATCCTGGATGTATTCACTGTTCTCCATCACAGAGGAATTTTGTTGCAAGCATGGAGGAATTCTGTGCTACTTAAATTTTAACCAGGTGTCTTAATAATATAAAAGGAGTCTATCTTTTAGTTAGGTAGTGATGTTGACACAGAAAAGTAGTTTACTTTGTTTTTACAACATATAAATTTGATTTGATACGAAAGTGAAGCAAATTATCTTGTATAAAAATTTCTCTGTCATTTCAAATGATAAAAATAGGCTTCTCAATTAGGAATTTTCCCAAACTAGACTATTTAAAACTTTTTTTTTTTTTTTTGGGGTATAGAGATACTAAGCCAAATAAGGCATATTGTAGCTTTTCTCCATCTGTCTTCCAGACACCTTCAATTGGTTTAATCTGTCCACAAAGGAAGCACAATCTCAGGTCACAGACTATTCCCTGCTACAAATGTGTTAAACCTTGAAGGGAGCTCCTCTAATAAAGCAGCTGCAGTGCCTGAGCAGTTGCTCTTCCAAAAAGCGTGCCAGTTCTGCAGATTGTATCACATCTTCATCTGTGCTCAAAGTAAGATAATTATGTGGGTTACATATGTTTATCAAATATGCATAAAGGAGAATAATTTATTAAGTATCACTAATTTTGCCTATGCCTCGTGTTAGGCTGAGAGCTGTTTCTGATTCTCACTAAGGTTGCAGTAAAAACAGGGAAAGGTGGCACAAGATTTCTTTAACTTTCAGACTCCCATACTCAGAAACTGCCTAAGACAAATTGATCAGTCTAAAGACACAATGTGTACAGCACACAGGTATCCTATTCTTCCTTTTTTTCCATCTCAGTAGGCTGCCCATATCAGCAACAGCTTTGAGGAAACACATCACATAAGTAAAGACACACAACAACAGGAACAGATCAGAATGTCCAGAGAAAAGAACATATAAAATGAGACATGTCCAAAAGAGAGCAGAGGATGCTTCTTACCTTCAGCAACTTCCAAAGGTCCTTGAGAT